AATAATTATGCACACCTGAATATAAGGCGTTTTTCACTTCCAGCTTTCATGAACAATAATATATAGATTATAAGTGATTAAATACAAGATTAATAGTAGTTATTAAGATTGATGTTGTTTGGAATTGGTAAAATGTGCTTGGAAAAAAATATAAACAGAATATCAACTTGCTTAATAATTATGCATGCACTGTATTTTTCCTCTTCTGCTGTCAAGGTAATGCAAGAAATGTTGTGAGTGGTTGTCAAGGTAGCCAATCAGAATTTAGCAGCCTAGTCTCTGATTGGCTGGAATTATGGCATATTGTAATGCTGGGTTGTGTTGAGCAAGCGAGCCGTTGGCATTTAGAGAGCACTGAGGGCTGGCATCAGGTGAGCAAGCTAGTGAAACAATGCACGCGCAAAATAAAAGGTCTGCACACATCCAAAAACGTATTTTAAATGCAAAATTGATTTTCGTGCGCTCTAAATACTTTTTTCTTTGCGAAACGAACGTTTTCTCCACAAAACTCAGATCGCACGCGTATAAAATGCACTTTTGTGCGCTCAAAATATGATCTTTCACGTGCAGAATTGTTGCAGAGATCTAAGCCTATAGAATTGTTGGCCGATCAGATCACACTCACAGAACAACGTCATCTGGACTCTTTCATTATCGTTCTCGGTGATTTTAATAAAGCTAATCTCACCCGTGAACTGCCTAAATATAGACAGAACATCACATGCCCCACCAGAGACAGCAATATACTGGACCACTGCTACACTGTTTTAAAGGATGCATACCACTCTGTCCCCCGAGCAGCTCTGGGACTCTCTGATCACTGTTTGGTTCATCTTCTACCAGCCTACAGGCAGAAACTCAAATCTGCTAAGCCTGTAGTGAAAACTGTAAAAAGATGGACTGCTGAAGCAGAGCAGGATTTACAGGCCTGCTTCGAATTTACTGATTGGAGTGATTTTGAGGCTGCAGCTACTGATCTGGATGAGCTCACTTACACCGTGACATCCTACATCAGTTTCTGTGAGGACATGTGTGTTCCCACCAGGACTTATTTAACATTTAACAACGACAAACCTTGGTTCAGTGCAAAACACAAACAGCTTCACCAGGCCAAAGAGGACGCCTACAGTAGTGGGGACAAAGACTTGTACAAACAAGCCAAATGCACACTGAATAGGGAGATAAGGGTAGTAAAGTTAAACTACTCTGAAAAGCTAAAAAAACTGCTTTCAATTAATGACTCTACATCAGTGTGGAAAGGCCTGAAAGCCATCACCAGCTACAATACCCCATCCCCCAGCACTGAGGCCAATCAACAACTGGCTGAAGACCTGAACGAGTTTTACTGCAGGTTTGAATAGACTGGTCTGACACCCCACACCCACTCCGACCGTCTCACAGCTCAGCCATCAACACCCTCCCCCTCCCTCCCCCCAACTATTTTTCAGCTTACTGGACCCCCTGCAGTTTGCTTACTGAGCAAACAGGTCTGTGGCTGATGCAGTCAATATGCGATTGCACTACATCCTCCAACATCTGGACAAATCAGCGACTTATGCAAGGATCTTGGTTGTGGACTTCAGCTCCACTTTCAACACTATCATCCCGGACACCCTTTAGAATAAACTCATACAGCTCTCTGTACCCACCTCCATCTGTCAGTGGATCACCAGCTTCCTGTCAGACAGGCAGCAGCTAGTGAGGATGGGAAAACTCACATTCAACACTCGCACCATCAGCGCCGGAGCTCCTCAGGGCTGCGTCCTCTCCCCACTGCTCTTCTCTCTCTACACAAATGACTGCACCTCTACTGACCCCTCTGTCAAGCTCCTGAAGTTTGCAGACGACACTACAGTCATCGGTCTCATCCAGAACGGAGACGAGTCTGCTTATAGACAGGAGGTCGAGCAGCTGGCTGTCTGGTGCAGTCACAACAACCTGGAATTGAACACGCTCAAAACTGTGGAGATGATCGTGGACTTCAGGAGGAACCCCCCCTGCTCTCCCCCCACTCACCATCATGGACAGCACTGTGGCTGCAGTGGAGTCATTCAGGTTCCTGGGCACAACCATCTCTCAGGAACTGAAGTGGGACATTCACATTGACTCCATTGTGAAAAAGGCCCAGCAGAGGTTGTACTTCCTTCGTCATCTGACAAAGTTCAACCTGCCACAGGCACAGATCACACAGTTTTACTCAGCTATTATTGAGTCGGTTCTGTGCTCTGTCTAGTTTGGTTCAGCCAGCAAATCAGATCTAAGAAGACTGCAACGGACTGTTAGGACAGCAGAAAGGATCATTGGTGTGCACCTGCCCAGTCTACAGGACTTGTACAACTCCACAGTGAAAAAACGGGCAGGTAACATCATCAAATACCCCTCTCACCCCGGGCACAACCTGTTTGCACTTCTCCCTTCAGGCAGATGCTACAGATCTCTGCGCACTAGAACATCTAGGCATAAAAACATATTTTTTTCCCCCAATGCCATCTCCAGCTTAAACAGCTAACACATGAATCATTACCTGTGTTCTGTAATTCATCTCCGTAATTCATTCTACATCTTTAATTATTGCCTTTTTCTCAAGTATTATGTAAATACATATGGATATCTCTTATTTATACAGTTCTATATAGAGTACAAATGCACAAATCTGTACATAAATCTACTGTTCCAGATTCATACACATTCTTTTTTGTTAAGTCTTACTATTTAAATGTCAGATGTGTATGTATGTATGTTTGTATGCATGTGTGTATGTACCAGGAGCACCTGGTAAAAAAAAAACACAACAAATTCCTAGTGTGCTTGCGCACACCTGGCGAATAAATCTGATTCTGATTATGCTTAGGGGAAAGCGTGCGTATGCATTGTGATACTATCTAAAATGGCAGAAGACGTAACTCGGGGAGAAGAATTGTTGAAAAAATTATTTTTGTTTTCTTGCTCAAGTATTCTCATAGCTTCGCAAATCTGAAGTTGAGCCACTGATGTCACATGGACCGTTTTACCAATGTCCTTACTACGTTTCTGGACCTGGGAACGTTACAGTTGCATTGCTGTCTACAGAGGGCAAGAGAGCCCTCAGATTTGATAAAAAATATCCTTAATTTGTGTTCTGAAGATGAACGAAGGTCTTATGGGTTTGGAACGAAACGAGGGTGAGTAATTAATGACAGAATTTTCATTTTGGGGTGAACTAACATTTTAAGGCTAAAAGTAGCTCATAACGAGCCGATTTAAGAGAAAATCTTAAACATAATGGGCGTGTCAGTCCTAAATTTAGGACTCCTAAATTTTTGTTCTAATAGTATTTCACATTTTGGGGTGAACTAACATTTTAAGGCTAAAAGTAGCTCATAACGCGCCGATTTAAGAGAAAATCTTAAACATAATGATTTATGTTTAAGATAACATAAATCAGTCAGTGTCAGTCCTAAATTTAGGACTCCTAAATTTTTGTTCTAATAGTATTTCACAAAGCGTTTTAGTGCTAAAACTAGCTCCTAAATCTAAGGTTAGGAGTAGTTAAAGGGGTCATATGATGCAATTTCAATTTTTCCTTTCTCTTTGAAGTGTTACAAGCTCTTGGTGCATAAAGAAGATCTGTAAAGTTGCAAAGACTAAAGTCTCAAATCCAAAGACATATTCTTTATAAAAGTTAAGAGTCAACCGCGCCTACCTAAAACGGCTCGTTCTAACACGCCCCCACATGTCTACGTCACGATGTGGGAAGATTTGCATAACGCCGCCCAAATGTTCACGCAAAGAAAGAAGGCGTAACTTTTATTCTCTCTGTAGTATTGTTACCGCTGCCGCCACCATGTCGTGAAGGTGCTGTGTTTCGTTGTGAAAGCGAAACTACTTTGTTTGGCCTTCCAAAAGAGGACGATATCGCTTCGTCATGCCTGGAGCTGATCCGTGCTGGTCGCTGAGGAAATACATCAACTTCGCGCTGTGGATCGCCGGATCAAGCCCACCGGCCGTCGCTTACTCAGCACGCCGGCCTCCGCTCACTCTAGCCCGCCGTGTGTGACGCTGTGTTTCGTGAGCAGTGTAGAGTAGCGCTTGTTGTTTGTAATTTCTCCGATCACAAATGCAGACATGGTTTTATGTTTACGTGGCGCCTCGATGCAATGCAACGCGTAAAAAGACAGTATAAATCATTATAATCTGTAATTATGTCCCCACTGGATGCAACAAAGGCCTCGTTTATAATAGGTTTTAATGTTTTTGTCTCGTAGCTCCGGCCTGACAGGGCATCACAATATGGTAAGGGCCGTAACATTTCCATCACACGCTTGAGGTATTCGGCCAATCACAACGCACTGGATAGCTGGCCAATCAGAGCACACCTCGCTTTTCAGACTGATGAGCTTTGTAAAAATCGACACGTTTCAGAAAGGTGGGGCATAGAGAAGAAACAATAATGTAAAGTATGTGGAAAACATACTCTACAATATTTCCATGAATAAATCTCTGACAGAGACGATCAGCCACTCACTGTGTGCATAGTTAGTAAGCATGCTGACATCTTCTATAGCAAAGAGGCCAACCCCGCCCTTACTCTTAGCTTAAGACTTCTCTCTATTCCTTAGTAAAAGTTTGTCTCGGCAGCTTTGTGAATAGGTTTTAAGAGAAAACTCTTAGCTAAAAACTTTTACTGCTATTTGGGAGAACTCTTAGTGGTAAGATAAAATGTTTAGTGAATACATTTTAATACATGTTGGTGATTTACAATTCATTAGTGGATTCTAAAGACAGCAAAAGGCACACACATGATATTACATATATATTATCTATAGATATTTTGCATAATTGCATAATAATAAGGACTGGGAAAAGACTGTACTTTACAGTTAATCAGCAGTGGTGAATGAACAGGTGTATTATTAACTTCAGTAGTAAAAACCTGTAAATTGACATGGCAAATCATTACATTAATTACTTTTTTTAAATTATTAATAAAATTATGTGAAAAAGATTAGTTCTTCTGGCAAATGGATTATCCACTGTAATGTCTCCCATCTTTTGTACACCAGTACATTTCCAGTCTTTACAGTCGAGGTATCTTTTAATCTGCCGAGGAAGTATAAAACAAGGCACACTATTAATACAATGATCACATGAACAATGAAATAGATTTGATGCAATACGGTCTTTCTCTGTTTGTGCTTTGCTTTGGGGTTTCATAGACTAATGACTGCTGCTGTGACTTTACTGACCTGACAAATGCAGATGATAGATCTGGTATGGTCAGGAGTGGTATGGACGTGATGGTACATGCAGAGGAGGAGACGTGGAAAAGGGAATGCTGTGACGTGGTGGAGATGCGCTGACAGGAGATTCATTCAGGATTACCGGGGGAATCTTGTAGAATATGGCGCTCAATGTTTCTGTTTTTACTGGAAGAGAAAACGAGTGAAATAAATGTCATGCTCATTGCTCTCATTCAGTAAATTCATTCCAACCCTCCTCAGCTTTTTCTTACCTTTTTTGTGCTTTTTAGGTGGTCGGTGCTGTCTCTTTTTGCTAAGACGAATTCGACTCTTGAGGGCAGAGTTGTTCAGCAATTCAAATGACTAAGAGAGATAAAAATGTTTTGTCATTTATTCCACTTAAGTTAAAATAAAACAAAACAAAAAAAATTGTCTCTCGTATATTAACATAAAATTCCAGTACAGAAAATGTACAAAAGTGTTCCCCACCTTGACTGCTGAAAAGTCCAGCGGAGCATCTGATGCCTTTCTTTTCATTAATGGAAAGTCATTTTTGGGAATAATATACATGTCCACACAGTCATAGGTGTCATCTGATTTGTTTGACTCACAAGCTCTTTGTTGTATTGCATTGTTTGTTAGCAGTGCCTTAGGTATAGAAAATATGTTTGCATCCCATTCCACTTGTTTTACATCCAAGCCACTGTTCACTTTTGCTACATTGTCCTCTTGAGGTCTACTAGCACTGTCTTGATTGTCCTTTATGTCCTCTGACTGGTCCTCCTCTGGTGTCTTTATGTCCTCAGACTGGTCCTCCTCTGGTGTCTTTATGTCCTCAGACTGGTCCTCCTCTGGTTTCTTTATGTCCTCAGACTGGTTCTGTTCTGATGTTGGAAGAGGAACTTCAAGCTGAATGTCCTTTTCTGGTTGGAGAACATCATTTGTCATTGACTGATCACTAGTGTCTTTCTCAGCTGGACTTTCTTTGATGGGCAAGTAACTGAGCCATTCGCTGCCTGTGAATATTTCTTCCATTAAGTTGATCGGTTCAAGATTGAGTTTGAAGTCTTTTAGGGTAAATCTTCTGCTCAGAAAGACAAGAAATGTTAGATTAATTTAATAAGTCAACTGAATTTGAAACACAGGTTTGATGGTTTTATTTGAATGGTTTTAACTAGGGCAAACTGTAGGTATTTTCATCCCTAATTGTAGAATTTGTAAATGCAAACCTTTGTTGTTCCCTCAAAGTGATTTTAATTATCAATGCACTTGGTGTGCAACCCGAGATATTACCATAGGCTACATATTTCCCCCGTTAATCCTTTAACAGATCATTGCCGTTCACTTTAACAGGTTTTCCTTATTTAGGAGTCTCATTTTATGTGGACTAACATGCCGCATTAAAGAGCAACAATTAAAGAGAAACATATCTCGGTAACACTTTATTTTAAGGTGTCCTTGTTTCACGTTACATACTATTATAATAACAATAAATTATGCATAATTATATGCAAGTCAAAACCCTAATCCTAACCCTAACCATATAGTAAGTGCATGTGGTTAATTAATATTACTCAGTACTTAAATGTATAATTACACTGTAACAAGTACACCTTAAAATAAAGTGTAACCCAGATCTCTGTTACAACGTGCATGTTTGTGTTTGCTTTGTCCTGTCACTTCAGATAAAAGGAATGTCACAGAACCAGAAATAAGTGCTGTGATTTATGAATAGGTTGACTGGGCGATGCTACAATCAAGGAAGTGTTGTAAATTTTGTAAAGCAAAGTTTAAAATGGAAAAAGGATCCCTTGTTTCACGTTACATACTATTATAATAACAATAAATTATGCATAATTATATGCAAGTCAAAACCCTAATCCTAACCCTAACCATATAGTAAGTGCATGTGGTTAATTAATATTACTCAGTACTTAAATGTATAATTACACTGTAACAAGTGCACCTTAAAATAAAGTGTAACCCAGATCTCTGTTACAACGTGCATGTTTGTGTTTGCTTTGTCCTGTCACTTCAGATAAAAGGAATGTCACAGAACCAGAAATAAGTGCTGTGGTTTATGAATAGGTTGACTGGGCGATGCTACAATCAAGGAAGTGTTGTAAATTTTGTAAACGCAAAGTTTAAAATGGAAAAAGGATAAAATATATTATGCATATGCCAAAGATAAGTGTCTATATAGTATATAATTTGGCTGTTTATCATCTGAAATGCATAATTGTCCAACTAAAAGTATTTCTCTCCATAAAATGTTTCTGAAAATGTTGTTGTTTGCAGTGTTGTTTTCATTAACTAAACCTAAAACTATTCAAAATCATTTTAGTTCATTTAAATGAATATGAAATAAAACAAAAAAGCAAAAAATCAATTGAAATAAAAAAGCAATAAAATTGCTAAAACTAAAACTGAAATAAACTAAAGCTATTTACAAATATTTTGGTTGCACTTTATTTTACAGTATTTGTGCTTACATGTACTTACAATGTACTTACCTAAGAAAGTACTGTATATAAGGTTAAGGTTAGGTCTAGGTTCTGGGTTAGTACCTAGTTATTACCCAGCTATTGCTATCACTATTGTAAGTACACAGTACGTACATGTGGAACAGGACTGTAAAATTCCATAAATATTTTAAAGAAAAATGACAAGAGCACAAAATGACTAAAACATAAACTAAAATTAAACAAAAAAGTTAATTCAAATTATTAACAAATACCATAACAGTATATAAATAATACTAAAACAACACTGATGGTTGTGTTGAGCATGTCCCACCTGTCTAAGAAAACATATTTCCCCATTTTTGGTGGAAGTGGTGGTGGAATCTCTTGAGCCTCGGCTTCCACCTCCATGGAATTCAGCTGCAAGGTGATTCATTGTGATTTAGGTTTGAAAAGCAACCCAATGAAAAGTGCAATAGTTAAATATGAACTAAAAAAGTTAATTATAAGTCACAACATTGATTTATGTTCATTCTTAGTGTAAGAGATTAGAAGTAATTCTACATTAGAAGTATGAGGAAGTATACATACGTTTTGTGCTTCTTCTTCCAGGCTGTCTTGTGTGCTCTTGCTGCCAGTGTTCACACAATCATGTTTATCTTTAAGCTTTTCCATCAGTTTTTGAGTAAGATTCTTCATTTTGTTTTTCACACCTTTCTTTTGCGTTTTGGTGAGCGAGTTGTCGTGTTCCACATTTCCGATGCTCATGCCTGAATACTCCTGTCCCAAAATCTTAGCAGCTTTGCTGAAGCTTTTGGCTGGCATTGCATTTGCAAAATCTTCATACTTTTCATATTCCCGTAGGTTTGAAATACTTGGAGCTGAGAGGGGTCTCTCTTCCTTAGGCTTGCAGGTTACTGGATCTGAAGCGGACCTTGTTGTCTTGCCTGTAACATTCACAGCTGTTTGATGGGATAGAACCCTGCTCGTATCCATACTGACTGGTTTTGAAGGACCACCACAAGCTTCATCTAGTGGTTCATGCTTCAACCCCACCTGGGCAGAGCCCACTTTATCTGAGGACACAGAGAGGTAAGATGTGTGTCCAGATGTTTCTTGAGATTGATTGTTAGGCAATAATGCAGCTCCAGCCACATGCTCTTCCATCTCTTTGCTCTTTTTGTCCTCCAAAGACTCACTTTCTCTTGGCTGACAACTTAATTTTGCCACCTGGGTTTCTATGGACAAAGAGGCAGGGAGTAAACTCTTCCTCTCCCATTTAGGAAATGCATCTGGAAGCTCTTTGACCTCTTCAACAGCTTTATTTCCATCTTCTTTTTCAGAACTCCTAGTTGGTTGCTCCTCATCATCATCATCAGATCTGACTGTGCTATCTTTCCTGTCGTCTTCATTTTTTATTCCTTCTTCATGTTTTAGAGAATGGTAAAACACGCTTTTACAGTTTGTATCTGGGTGTAATTTAACATTGTCTGTTTTGGGATGTTTGTGTTTTAGATTAAGTTTTGCCAGCATTGAGTGCAGTCGTGGAATATCATTCCGCAGACCATTCCTCACATCGCTCTGCATGAAAAGAGCCATATTATGTTCTTAGAATATTAGTTTATGGCATTATTCACCGTTTTAAGCACTTTGAACTTTGAACTGAACAGTTCTTATAAACATACCTTTTTTATTAACATTTTAATAATCTAAGGAAACATTTTCCACTATAACGAACTTTTTGTGCAACGGAAAGATTCCATGAGTGTTAAAGGTTCCATTGATGCCAAACAAACCTTTATTTTTAAGAGTGTTTTAGTACTAGTAGTACTACTTTGTATTTTGTTTACAATACTTGTGACATCCCATTTACTCTTATATATTATATATCATACAAATCTTATCATATTTGATCTTTTTGTGCTCTTTAAAAACTTACATGCGTTTTTGCAAAGGAATCTTATCTATTATATCTAGCATCTATTTTTCATACCTTTGCTGTTTGTTCCTCCATAGTCTCTCATTTCATTCATCCTTTTCAGGTCCTTTACATTCACCCTTCATGTCATATCCAGCATCGCTTCATCATTCTGAAGTGTATTAAACCTTATGGTCTCTTTTCTTCAAACCAATCAATAGCACACACAAAGCAGTTGTGCAACCTGTGTGAAGCACCTTGTGCCTTCGTCTCTCAGTCACTGCCTTCTTCCTTTTATAGTCTAGCATTTCTGTACTGCCCAAACCTGTTTTCTAAATTTGATCTCACGTTCCACCTTCTTTCAGCCTATGAAATTAATATAAGTTCTTGAATGTATACTGCATTAAATATTAAATCTACATTAAATAGCTTTGCAATAAAGTGTTGATATTAAAATATGCAGCTGATCGTAATACATAGAGTCAGGGAAACTGTCAAATATTAACTCAATAATGCCTGCCCACAGTTTAAACACAATGTGAATGTGTCTTAACACTATGCTATTTTTCCATATCAACCCCATTAAAATATTTTGGAGTAAAAACATTTTTTTTAATGTAATTTGATTTACATGGCTTGTTGCATATTTTGGCAAATGTGACCCTGGACCACAAAACCAGTCATAAGTTGCACAGGTATATTTGTAGCAATAGCCAACAATACATTGTATGGGTCAAAATTATTGACTTTTTATATCAAAAATCATTAGGATATTAAGTAAAGATCATGTTCCATGAAGATATTTTGTAAATTTCCTACCGTAAATATATCAAAACTTAATTATTTAATATATCAAAACTTTAATTGATTAGTAATATGCATTGCTAAGAACTTCAGTTGGATAACTTTAAAGACGATTTTCTCAAATATTTAGATTTGTTTTAGATTTTCAAATAGTTGTATCTCGGCCAAATATTGTCCTATCATAACAAACCATACATCAATGGAAAGCTTATTTATTCAGTAAAAAAAATTGACCATTATGACTGGTTTTGTGGTCCATGGTTACAAATGTTGATTCCAAATGTATATTCCAGTTTCAACCCTGCTATAACACACATGCCATGTAGTTTTCCAGTAAACCTGAAAGACTTGATTGTAGTAGGACCTTTTGTAGTTTTACAGTAAGCCTAAAGGATTGGGTGCTTTAGGTGCTTTACAGGAACTGAGTTTTGCAACCCTGGGCTATTCCATATACAGGAAATATGCTCACTGCACACCGATAGCCTTTATACATACCGCATTATACAAAACTAGTATGAGCCGAATGGTTGTCCAGAATTCCCAGCTCACTGTCGCAACCAATGAAAGGCTACAGTGGTCGTCACGTGATCTAGAATACGGAAGCCAACCAGTGTTTTGTACTTTGTTTTGCTACTGTCCTTTTGAACTGGACTGTCTCTTTTTTATTAGAAAATGGCAATGTCACCGCTCGTCCACGTTCTCATACCCTTCCTGCTTTGCATTGCGCTTGCAAACACTCACATTTTCGACAACGTTTTGGTGGATGTCACTTATGATCACTATGCGGAAAAGAAAGTCGACAACCTTCCTGCTTTCTTGGCCATGCCGTTTAACTGTCTGATAAACTTGGGATACATATTATTAGGTATCTACTGGATCTTGCAACCGATGTCAGACAATAGAGACACCTGTGCAGCCGTCTACACCAAAGACGTGTTTGCGCTAATGGCAGTGGCCTATGGACCGGTGCAGTGGGTCCGTTTGGCCACCTTGCGGCGCGCGCCCTCTGTTTTGGACCAGTGGTTCACTTTACCTATTTTCTCGTGGGTGCTGGTGTGGTATCATGTCGTTGACAAAGGCTGGTCGTCCCGTTACGCCTTGATGGTGGAATCGTGCTCTATTCTCAGCTATGGACTGGCGCTCTTTCACGACCGAGGGTTTGAAGTAGCCCTGGGTTGCCACATCGCCTTCGCTGTGTTCAAAGGCGTCCGAGCGCAGAAGAGCCTCGGAGACGCTGCGTCCATGCGCTACCTCTGCTTGGCCCTGCTGTCCTGCGCTGGTTTCGTGGTTCTCAAGCTTCTGGATCATTCTCTTGCAGAGTACTGGGTGTTTCAAAACCTTACTGGACATTTCTGGTCCAAAGTTTGCGACATTCTGCAGTTTCATTACAGCTTTTGTTTTCTCACCCGCCTTAGTGAAAATGCACACAAACGCTGTTCATAAATGCACATACATTTATTCAGCTGAATAATAAGGCAATGGACATAACATGTACGAACCCTAATTTAGTCTTGTCTTCAACAGTATTATTATGTCACTGACATGTACAAATTCTAACGATTAATGTGATCAAAGATTTGTAAAATCAAACTAATTTGATGCTTTTCAAAACATCAGTTTTGTTCAAAAAATAACTAATTAATTGATTTTTAAGGAAAACTGTCAAATATGTGAAATACTTGGATTTCATCTATTAGAATACAGAATTATCAAAGCAATATACTGTGTGTGTGTGTGTGTGTGTGCTTGTTTATGTGGTTTATTAGGACACATAGGTATGTCAGAGGTATTACAACTGAAGGTGATTTATGAGGACACTTTCGGTGTGCCTGTAGTTCAAAAGGCTTAAAAACCAGTCAGATTGAGGTTTTTTTGAAAATCTAAAAATGCACAAAGTTTCTGTAACCCATTCACTGCAGAGGACCCATTGGTGAGCAAGTGATGTAATGATAAATGTATCCATATTTTAATGATGAAACAAATTCTTGAATGGACCGAGGTTGAGTACATTTTTAGCAAATTTTCATTTTTGAATGAACTATTCCTTTAAAAATCCATATGAAATCTTTCAGCATTCTGTGTTCACTACTTCCAACTCTACAAACCTGGAACTGTCTTTCCCATAGCCAGCACAAGTCAGAATGGAGCAGAAGAGTATGAGGAGAAATGGGATGAAGATGGAGATGGAGAAGGCACAGAGGATGTAAACCAGCATGTCAGAGTAACTGCTTTCCCAGAAAACTGCACACAGCATTTCTGCTGGATCATACCTGAAAATGGCATGCAGAATATAGTGAGATGTCATGTTGATGCCTACATTTTGAGCATTTCTAAGCATCTTCACTCACTTTATCCAGTCATAGACTACTGGTACTGCTCCAAATATAGCTCCAGTGCACCATGATGCTACACATGCCACCGCCATGACAACAGACAGCTTTTTGCCTTTGGAAGGAATTCCCATATATCTCTGAACACAGAGAATTGCTGAGGACAAAGAAGAAAAGAATGGTATTATTGTGATATAACTCTTTTTATAGATACATTCTTAAGGCACAAATGAGGAGTTTCATTCTTAGAATAACCTTTTCTAATTCACCTTAATACATATATATACATATATATATATATACTGTATATATATATACTTATTTTATTCAGCAAGGCACATTCAATTGACCAAAAGTGACAGTAAAGATAAAGACATTTATAATGTTACAAAAAATTTTGATTTCAAATAAATGATGTTCTTTTGAACTTTCTAAAAAAATATATTTAAAAACATATTCGAAACTCAAGTTCAAAGACTTACTTTAATCATATTAAGAATTTAACACTTTTTACATAACCAAATAATAATAAACAATAATAAACATTTTATTACTTCTAATAATGAAACTAGTAAACAAGCAAAGAAGAAAAGATTGGTATTATTGTGACATACCTCTTCTATTGATAGCTGTTTTTGATCATTTATTGATTATATTTAAGGCACAAATGAGAAGTTAATTTTCCGTTTTTAGAATAACTTTTCTAAATAATCCTAATTTAAAAAAATATAATGTTACAAAAATTTTTGATTTCAAATAAATGATGTTCTTTTGAACTTTCTTAAAACATATTCGAAACTCAAGTTCAAAGACTTACTTTAATCATATTAAGAATTTAACACTTTTTACATAACCAAATAATAATAAACAATAATAAACATTTTATTACTTCTAATAATGAAACTAGTAAACAAGCAAAGAAGAAAAGATTGGTATTATTGTGACATACCTCTTCTATTGATAGCTGTTTTTGATCATTTATTGATTATATTTAAGGCACAAATGAGAAGTTAATTTTCCGTTTTTAGAATAACTTTTCTAAATAATCCTAATTTAAAAAAATTAAAAATCTTTGAAACTAAAGTTTAAAGACTTTCTTAAATAATATTAAGAATTTTTAAATAACCAAATAATAATAAAAACAATATTAAAACCTTTTTTTTAAATGTTATATTTACTAGTAATTAAATATAAGCTGAGAACAACGCAGAAATTTTTTTATTATTTGGACAAAACTTTTTTGTTGATTGTAGAACATTGAAACTCAAATTTAAAGACTTGTTTAATCATATGATGAATATTAACTTTAAAAAAAAACTATTTTAAACCATAACATTTTATAACTAATTATAACATTGCTTTTAAGAAATATTAAAACGTCAAATTGTCTGCATTTCTGAACATTGCTTTTTCAATAAATATTCAAATGAAAGCTACGACAGAGTACATGATTCTTCTTCTTTCCTCACAGTGTCCAATGCCCCCTCCTGCAACCATTCAGGTGTACAATAGGGTGTTTATTTATTGTTCTTTATTGCTAATTACAATGAAAGCAGTATTAGAGATATCCCACAGAGGTCAATTGTTCCTTGTCATAGCCATACCTATGCTTCCAATGGAAGAGGTGATGAAGGTGAACTTTAGCAGGCTCACCACCTCGCACCACGGTGAAATCTGCCCTTCACTCAGCAAGGCTACGAGAGAGCCACAGATCATGAGGATGGAGCAGAGGAAATCTGAGAGCGTGAGACTGAAAAGTGGCAGCCAGTAAAGGCACTGAAAATGGTCTTTACACTGTGAGAGAGCAAAAAAACAAAGGCATGAGGCATTATATTTTAAAACTGATTGCATCCCTAAAAAAATCTTTTTTCATTTGTTTTCTTTTTTAAATAAAATTATATATTATTTTATAAAATTATATATCATTCTTACCACAACTTTGACAATCAAAACCAATCCATTTCCCAAAACACCCAGTACCATCTCAGTGGTGAGAATGGGAACGAGTACAGACTTCTCAGTTCTGGACCAAAAGTTCTCCTCTGATTCTGTTATATTATCTGAAGTGTTCACTGAAATGAATCAGAATATTATTCCAATGAATTAATTCTCACATTTCATAGCTTCTATAAATCAGGAATCAATTTAGCATTGAAATTCAAAAAATGATCCATCAACCTTCACTCTGACTCGAGCTGGTCAGTCTATGAAACAGCACTTCGACCGCACAGATTTATCTTCATTACAGAGAACATGACAGAGAATTTAGTGTAAAGGTGATCGACTTACTTTGTCACTGAAGCAGAGACCTACAGATAATCCCAACAATTAGAAAAAAGAAAGCTTCACACTCGGTTGTTTTGTGGATATGCGATGCAGAGAGCACTGAACACAGTGATTACGTGGAGACATACGTCACAGCTTTCTGTAATTAAACTTGTCCTGCTTCATTAAGCTTTAACCATCAAACACTTATTCAGCTTTCTTCACAGTGACAGGACAGCACTAATGGCTTCATAGCATATTAGTATAAGAAAAAGAATCCCTCTGAAATGTCATTTTAGCAATTTAAACAGGTGCATATCTTATTTTATCAACTCATATCTCACTCAAGTCCGAAACTATTTTCAAAACTATGGCATGTCAGAAGATTAGAAAATTATTACTTTGATTACGTAAATACACAGTGTTTATTAAGCTTTATCCAGCTGTTAAACAGCTGTTAAACCTACAGTGTTTAACAATTGTGAAAATTATAGGCTATTAGAAACAAAATAAAACTTATGTTTAAGTAAAGGATCTTTTGAGAATAAAATCAATTTTAAAAAATCATTCATTGTAAGCCTTTGGTCTTTTATTTATTTATGTATTTAATAACAATGTTTGGTGAACTATCATTGGGAACGTACCTACCTCCACTACTACCTCTCTCTCTCTCTCTCTCTTGGAGCATTCTGTTAGGAAGTGCAGTTCTGTTTCCCTCTGATTCAGATCACAGTGTGAACACAGTCTCTGCTCCGGTGGCAGCCATGTTTTTCTGTGTCTGCCCGTCTCTATCATCAGCTTGTGTCCGCTGAGTCTGTATCTGGTCAACGTGCTTCTCACTTTCTTATCTGACACTGTGTACAGATACTCTGCCGTACTGTACTCTCTCTTTAGGGCCAGATAGCATTGCACTTTACTCTGCTGTTGTGTTTGGGTTTGCCAGTGAGTGATGTAGTTCTGTTTGATTTGCGCAGTAATCTGACTGATTCTGATGTTGTGATTCAGAGCAGCAGTAGATGTTAGTGAAGCATCAGGACTGAAGCTCTGGATCAGCTGAGGGAGGGGCTTGCTTTCTTTGCTCATCTCTTGGTATTGCAGGGCTTTATAATGATATGATTGGTGGTCACTGAGCTTCAGACGTTTCCAGAATCTCTCTCTCTCTCTCTCTCTGCTAATTTAATAATTTATTTTTCTTTCTTTGTAAATTGCTCTTTCGTAAAGCCAAATCTCTACGGAATTTTGCATTGATTATTATTATTATTATTATTGCAATTATTTTATATTCTGAACCACAGTGTTCGCTATTTTATATCCTAAAGAAACGTGTTTATAATAAAGGTGGTTTTATTTTTGTATGTTTCTTTTATTTATGTATTTTATATTTATTTATTTTTTTCTCAATCTTTTTACGGATGTGTTCTGTCTTATATTTTGTAAAAAAAATAAAAAAATAAAATAAAAATAAAAACACTCACTTCCGGTGTTCTGCATGTGCATTTCCTCAATCGTCCGCTGTTCTGGTTGAGAAGGCCAAATAGCGAGTGTCCGGTGAGTGCGAACTGGTTTTTAAACTGCCTGCATTCGCTATCTATCTTTTGAGTGAACATGCACCGCATTTTGTGGAACCGATATAATTAATACAATATTAGAAACGCAAATATGAATAATAGCAGTATAGTCATTGAAAGTCCTTGAGAAAATCAGCCTGTGGCTAAGCTACGTTACACAGCTGATGAACAATACAAACATTGACACCCAATCAGAATCAATCTTGCTATAACGAGCTCGAGAATTTAAAGCGGCAGACGAGCGTGCGCTTATAATAAACAGACAATATCGTCCGCTGGCGTGGATGCTAATATCTTTATCTTTATAGTTATCATTCTTTGTTTGAACGGGGCTTAGTGACAAGCAGTAATTGCATGCAGGTTTAATTATTTGCACATGTGAATTAGAAGAGAAATATAAATGTGCAAAATGACCCCCATATTTTTCTCTCTCTCAGGCGATCACAATTGAGGCAGAACCTCGTGCCGACGGCAGCAGGAGAACAACGCGTTATGACATAGACATGACCAAATGCATCTATTGTGGCTTTTGCCAGGAGGCCTGCCCTGTGGATGCTATTGTAGAGGTGAGCATCTCGTAGCACACGTTTCAACTACTCATCATGTCTTTTAACAGGTTGTTTAATGCGTTCAAACTGGCTTCTAGTGGAACTGTGGAAATTGAGGAAAAAGCTAATACAGCACAATACAATATAAAGAATATAGTGAGAGAAAACAAATACAATATACACTACAATGTGGGGTCAGTAAGATTTTCTTTTTATGTTTTTGAAAGAAGACTTTTATGTTCGCCAAGGCTGCAATATTTGATCAAAATTCAATAAAACCGTAATCTTGTGAAATATTATTCTTCATTATTACAATTTAAAAAATTACCGTTTTATATTTTTAAATATAATGTGAATTTTTAGCAGTCATTACAGTAATCATTCTAATATACTGATTTTGTGATTTTGATGGTTATTATTATCAACTTTATTATCTTATATAAAAAAATAGTTATAATGCTGTTTAATTTTGAAAAAATTAGCACTTTTTTTTCGAGATTCATTGATGAACAGAAAGTTTAAAATAACAGCATTTTTTAAATGGAAATCTTTTGTAACATTATAAATGTCTTTACTGTCATTTTTAATTAAATCTATGCTTCATTGCTGAATAATAGCATTCATTTCTTTAATGAAATCTTGCTGACCCCTAATTTTTAAATGCTAATGCATATATATGTGACCCAGGACCACAAAACCAATCATAAGGGTCAATTGAGATCTGAAAGCTGAATAAAGCTTTCCATTGATGTATGGTTTATGATAGGACAGTATTTGGCTGAGATACAACTATTTGAAAATCTGGAATCTGAGGGTGCAAAAAAATCTAAATGTTGAGAAAATTGCCTTTAAAGTTGTCCAAATGAAGTTCTTAGCAATGCATATTACATCAAAAATTAAGTTTTGATATATTTACGGTAGGAAATTTACAAAATGTCTTCATGAAACATGATCTTTACTTAATATCCTAATGATTTTTGGCATAAAAGAAAAATCGATAATTTTGACCCATACAATGTATTGTAGGCTATTGCTACAAATATACCCGTGCTACTTAAGACTGGTTTTGTGGTCCATTGTCACATATTATATAATGTGCATTAAATTGTTTGGAGAATAATTGCGATATTGCGCAGCATGAGAAGTCTAATGTACAAAATAAACAGGTGTTTAAAAGGGTCAAATTAAAATCTCCATTAGGATGAATACATTCTATATGACCAGATTTCCTGGAGTTAATGTCCACCTTTTCCTGTCTGTCTTTTTCTTAGGGTCCCAACTTTGAGTTCTCCACAGAGACTCATGAGGAACTGCTTTATAACAAGGAGAAACTCCTCAACAATGGAGACAAGTGGGAGGCTGAGATCGCTGCCAACATCCAAGCTGACTATCTCTACAGATAAATAAATGTCATGGACTGTCTCATTTCAACACAGTGACTATATACTCTTCACCATGCTCTCTTACCAGTAATCACAGTTTCAATTGCACATGGAAGATTTGCTTTTAGACCGTTACTGTTGTGCTGAGTACACATTTTCAAAGCCCAGGGACTGACTTTTTTGTGAAGATGCACATCATTTTTTATTTCTTTCTGTGGGAGCATAATATAGATTCTCAGGTCTAAAATTAAGTTCACACATTAATGTCCGTAAACTACAGCAGCCTTAAAGTGGTGCCTCAGATTGAAACATTTCTGTGTACATCTAAAGCTGTCGTTTTGACTTTTTATTCAACAGCATGAGCATCACACAGTAAATGTTGAGGTATGTTGTGTAATAAACAGTGTCTAATGGCAGTATAACCACCATAAGGATGACGCACTACTTTGTGGCTAATGTTACATTGTCATTTTGAGGCAGTCGATCCATCCTTCCTATTTTCCCTTCTTCCTTTCATATTTTGACCATCTGCTGGATTTAAATGAAGAGTTGTAAGAAACAAAAGCACTTTGACAGTTGTGTTGAATATATCTCACATTACATCCTTACAGGTGAAGACATTTTGTTTGTCCTTGCGAGAACTGTACAACGACTAAATACTTGTGGACCGTATATAATAAATGAATGCTGTGTCCAAATCTTTCACAATCTCTGGCCTTTAGTTATATTGCAACTCAGTTTGAATTTTGAATCGTTTCTTCATAAGAGCAATGCATGTTTTAGATGAAGATTTCCTTTCTCTTAAGTTTTCGTATATTTTTTAGTTTCTTTAAATATCTTTTTAATGGAACGGGAAATCTTTATTTTTGTCTCATATAAGCTGTGTCAGACTGACTTTAAGTCAATGTGCTGATTTGTGAAACAATGCTTGATGTTTTGACTTCTTTTTGAATTGTTTTTGCTGGCAGAAAAGAAATATGTAAACTAACTGCTCAATTCTTGTCCACATAATATGAGTTACTCGCAGTCTTGATTGTGATAGTGTTTCAGTTACTGCTTTAAAAAAAGCAAATCGATTTTAATAATTTTCAGTACTTCAAAAGTCCCTCAACTCGTCCCAACCAGTCTTGACTTTTTTTGTTTCATGTTGGATGGCAGAAATATTTTTAAGCATAAGTTATTTTTTGATCATTTATTTTTAACTAAATTTTTGTTTTAAATATGTCTTAATTTGTTCATTTAAAAATTATTTATTTCCATTTTTATGTCAAGCATTCCTTCATTTTATTATATTTAAGTCTCAGTCCTAGTCCCATAGTTTGGGGTAGTCCCATGTGTGTTAGTGGAGAAAAAGGAGCACCTTGGTAGAGGAAGATTAGCTACCCAGCACACAACTGTTGCTCTAATCCTCTCTGAGAGGATAGGCTTAGGACGACTACAAGACAAGAGCTACACTGCCATATTGTTTCCAATTTATGTTTCCCATAATAAAGCCACTATTTTTTTTTTTGAGAGTGTCTAAAGTAAGAATCCTGAGGAACTTGGTGCATTCATACTGTAATTAACATGTTTTCTAGCTAACATTATCCAGACTGAAAACGACGTCGCTGCTGTTTATCTTCTACATTGACCACTAGAGCTATTTGAAATCTTAAATCTCATATCACATTGAACTGAAGATGAAGGACCGACTGGAACAACTAAAAGCGGTAAGAGATTTCCGCCCTCGTGTTCTTATGTTAAAATCTTATGATTTTATTATTACACACACGGCGGTTTGAGGATTTATTTGCTGCTGTTTGACCTTTAAGTTAACTTACCTGGGAGGTCCTGAACTCAGTATTGACTAACTGAGGTAATTTTATTCAGTTATTGTCGATTATCTATCTGTAAATGTTAGCAATAGGTCATCATTATCCGGAGATTACACTCATGATTATACAACAAATAGGTTAAAAGAGTAAAACCGTATCTGAACTCCTGCCCTGTCATGGGGCCAATTCTGTGTATTTAAAATATAATTCTGTGCATTAAATATAAAAGTGTTACATTTCTGTAAGGTTTAATTTCTGTTGAAATAGTGAAGATAAGCTGCAATAGATTCTATCTTTAACTTGCTGACAAAAACAAGTACAGGTTGCTGAAAAAAAATCTTAACCAGTTTAATGTAGTTTGCTGGTCTTGGTCGGCCTCTCAGCCTGGTCAAGCTGGTCTGTTGGCTGGTCAGTCTTGGAGACCAGCTGGTCGTTGAGTTAAACACCAGTCTGGAAGACCAGCTTAAACCAGCTAAAAAGCTTGTTTTAAGACAGAGAAAACACTATTTCTGCCAAGTTATTAAACTTTCTGCTGTTTGTTTATGTCAAAACAGAAGTCGGATCAAACTCCTGATGATGTGGAAATTCCAGTGGAAAATAAAGAATTTATGGATGAGTTCTTCGCTCAGGTATATGTGAATCAGCTACACTGTATTCAGATGAATATGCAAATTTGAATGTCACACACTCTTAAAAATAAAGGTTCCATAAGGGGGTTTTAACAGCGGTGCCAAAGTTTTAAAAGTCGAAAGAACCCTTTTCCAATAAAAATAACCTTTAGTGCAATGGAAAGTTTCCATGGATATTAAAGATTATTTATAGAACCAGCAATGCCAATAAAGAACCTTGATTTTTAAGAGTGCAGTTAAATGGACTTTTTTCTGTATGTGTTGTACAGATTGAAGAAATCCGCACCAGTATAGACAAGATTGATGAAAATGTAGGCGAGATAAAGCGACTGTATTCTGTCATCCTCTCTGCGCCTACATCAGACCAGAGTTAGTCTAATCACATTTTACCTCCATTTTATAAATTATTTATCATTTTTCTCTATTGCTTCCCTACCCCATTCATGCTTTAAATATCTCTCATCTCATTTCTCAACCAGAAACACAGGATGAATTGGAAGCAGTTACCAATGAGATAAAGAAACTGGCCAACAATTCTCGCAACAAACTCAAAAGTCAGCTTTCTTTTCTTCTTTTGTTTGTTGATGAAAATAAATAATTTTTCTCCAGTGATAATTGGACAATATGCTACATCACTATTATCTCAAATTCTGATTTGAATTGTTTGGTCAACCTTGAAAACAGGCATTGAGCAGAGTTTGGCAGCTAACTCTGAAGAGAGGGTTTCAGCAGATATCCGGATAAAGAAATCTCAGGTAACCACACTAGCCCTTTGAATAAACCACAGGGATTTCCACAAGTAGTATGTTTTTAATCATACAGTGTTTATCTCCTTTGTTTAGCATGCCATTCTTGCTAAGAGATTTGTAGAAGTGATGACCAAATACAATGAAGCCCAAATGGAGTTTAAAGAAAAGAGCAAAGGGCGCATCCAAAGACAGCTGGAGATCAGTGAGTGACAAACGCATACACAGACCTTCTTTAGGGTTGGATTAAAAAGAAAGTCAGTGATCACAATGTTATAGGCTATACATGTTTAAGGACATTGTTGAATCCTGCCTTACAGCTGGCAAAGCCACAACTGATGAAGAGCTAGAGGAAATGCTGGATGGAGGAAACGCTGCAGTATTCACAGCAGGAGTGGGTACTATTCTATAACTTCTATGTGTGATGTTTTGTTGTAAGAAAATAACTTGTCTGTAATTTGTATGGGGTGTAAGATATTTTACTTAGACTGCTGTTCATTAGTTTGGAGTCAGTAAGATTTTTTTGAAAGAAATATACAGGTGTAAAGTAAAACATTTCAAAAGTTTTTTAGTTTTAATTTTGATGATTAGAGCTTACAGCTCATGAAAGAATATTAGAATATTTCCTATAAGATCAATCAAAAAAGGATTTGCAAAACAGAAACATTCAAGTTTTTTATAGTATGTTAATTTATGCACTCAATACTTGGTCAGGGCTCCTTTAGCACAAATTCCAGCATCAGTGAGGTGTGGCATGGAAGCGATCAGCCTTTGGCACGGCTGAGGCACTATTGAAGCACAGGTTTCTTTAATAGCGGCCTTCAGCTCATCTGTATGGTTGGATCGACTGTTTCTCATCCTTCTCTTGAAAATATCCCATAGATTCCATATAGGGTTCAGGTCAGGCATGTTGGCTGGCCAATCTAGCACAGTAATATCATGGTCAGCAAACCACTTGGAAGTGGTTTTGGCACTGTGGTCAGGTGCTAAGTCCTGCTGGAAAAGGAAATCAGCATCTCCATAAAGCTTGTCAGCAGATGGAAGCATAAAGTGCTCCAAAATCTCCTGATAGACGGCTGCATTGACTTTGGACTTGATAAAACACAATGGACCAACACCAGCAGATGTCACGGCACCCCAAATCATCACTGACTTCGGAAACTTCACACTAGACTTCAAGCAGCTTGGATTCTGTGCCCGTCCAGTCTTCCTCCAGACTCCAGACCTTGATTTCCAAATGAAATGCAAAATTTACTTTTATCTGAAAAGAGGACTTTGGACCACTGAGCAACAGTCCAGTTCTTTTTCTCCTTAGCCCAGGTAAGATGCTTCTGACGTTGTTTCTGCTTCAGAAGTGGCTTGGTAGCCCTTTTCCTGAAGACGTCTGAGCGTGGTGACTCTTGATGCGCTGACTCCAGCTCCAGTCCACTCCTTGTGAAGCTCTCCCAAGTGTTTGAATCGACTTTGCTTGACAGTATTCTCAAGCTTGCGGTCATCACTGTTGCTTGTGCACCTTTTCTTACCCAATTTCTTCCTTCCAGTAAACTTTGCATTTAATATGCTTTGATACAGCACTCTGTTTCAGTAATGACCTTCTGTGACTTACCCTCTTTGTGGAGGGTGTCAATGGTCGTCTTCTGGACCATTGCCAAGTCAGCATTCTTCCCCATTATTGTGGTTTCAAAGAAAAAGAGATACCCAGAATTTATACTGTAGGGATGGTCCTTTAATGAAACTCAAATGTAAATATTCTAATATTTTGAGATACTGGATTTTTGACTTTGAGCTATAAGCTCTAATCATCAAAATTAAAACAAAAAAACTTTGGAAATGTTTTACTTTACATGTAATTAATCTAGAATATATGAAAGTTTCACTTTTTGAAATAAGTTACAAAAAAAAGGAACTTTTTCACAATATTCTATTTTTTTGAGATGCACCTGTATACTTTTGTTCAAGGACACATTAAAAAATAAAAAGTGACAGTAACATTGTTAAAATAAAATTCTATTTCTAATAATCACTTATTTTTGGATTTTCTATTCATCAAAGAATCCTGAAAATAATTA